TTTCACATGTTCAGCACATCTGAGTCAGAGTGCAGCACTTGCAGTGGAAGCCTGTTTCTCTCTAGTGCTCTCTCTCCTGTGCTCTCTCTCCTGTGCTCCATGGGCTGGGAGGCAGGAGGAGAACTCTGGGCAAGTGTGCTCTCAGTTTGTTCTGTAGATCCACCTGTCCCTCAGGCAGGCCTCAAGTTCCAGATCAGTGTAACTGATAAATAAAATAGGAACAGAAAGAAAACCTCAACCATTCTCAAACACAGCTTTCACAACACAGCCTAAGTAAAATTAATACTTAATATTTTGATCTACTTCTGTCTCCTGCATTAGTTCTTTATCAGTTAGTAATTTGGAGGGAAGAATGGAGACTAACTGAACTCAAGAAATGACAAGAAGCTGTTTTAAGGAGAATGAAAAAGATAATAAAAGAGAAGAGAGATTGATGAAGGAGACAAGTAAATTGGTAAGATTAGGTCCCCATGTGGATTTAGGGATAAAATAAATATGGAGCTCAAGGACAGCTACCAATTTTCTAAGTATGTGATTAGGTGAATGTCGTGTTAGTGAATACAGAAGTAGGCTTTTCAAAGAAAGACAATTAATTCAATTTTAGATTTGTTAATTAATTCAATTTTGGATTTTTCAGTGCCTGTGAAAAATTTACATGGAAAGGTTCAGGAAAAAGCTTAAACATATGGTTTTACGGCTAGGCTGATGACACAAATTTGGAAAGCAACACATTGTTGAAGTCATGGAGTACACAGAATCCCCTGAGAGAGAATATATAATGAGAAAAAAAGGGCCATGAACAGAAACTTGGGGAATACCAGGAGTCTTTTTTGCCTCTGAGAAGGAATGACTCTGAGAAGAGCCAGAGAGATAGAGACAGAAGCAGGGATGGGGGTAGAGGTGGTGAAGTGCCATAAGAACCAGGGGAAGACAGAAGAATAATTTTTAAAGTATTCTAAACTTCATTTATCCCAGTTGGGATAGAAGAAGGGAAGAGGTACATTTTTAGCATTTATTAACATTTTAGTATATTTAATTCATTCATACATTAATTTCGATATTTCAATACTATAATCCTGCTAAAGTATATAATACCTGAACCCTGAGGTTGTTTCAAACTTGATACAGCCAAGATTTTATGACATTTTCTCCCAATAAAATTTCTTCAAATATATATATGATAATATTACCAAGTCTTCACATAGAAAAAATGTATAGTTCATACAAGTCAAATTCTAATATTAGAAAATGTACGTTCATCCATAAGAATTGTTAAACCACATAAGTCTAGAAAATATATAAAGTATTATTTCAGTACCTTTAAAAAATTATCAATTAAGCAAATCATTAGAATTATTGGGCTGTATTTAAAAACTCAAAAGGTGATTTAGGTCAATCTCCCTACCTCCAAAGAGAAGTATTCTTAAGCCCCTTCTAAGCACAGGTCTCACCTAAAATATCGTCTTTTACCCACATACCATTTCAGTACATCTCCAAGAGGACAGGAAAATGCATACTGTGACTGAGTTCCTGCTGTTATGGAGCCTCAAATAACTTGGGCTTAGACTTTGGGATCACAGATTATACATAGAGTTGACTTCATAATTTTTCTTCTAAAAAATAGCAGGGTTTTCCTTTCACTGAAAGTTAAAAGATGGGCTCAAGAATCTCATGTATTTAGCATTTACTATAACGTTGTTCCCCTAACCTAGTGATGCCTTTCTCCCTTTAATTTGATTAGATGGCTTGCTTTCTGGCTGAGACTCAAAAGGAATGGGACTGTTGAATGTAAATATGTGGCTCAGTGCTTAAAATTAATGAATTTTTAAATAGGATACTGGCATTATTTTTCATTAATTTTTATAAACCTCTTACTACAGCTATAAAGCTATCAAAGTAAACATTTAATACCTCATTTATCACATGGGGAATAGCTTCCTATTCATATAAAATTCCTCTATCATTCATGCACACACATACATATATATATATATTGATTCTTCATATGAAAACTTTTTAATTATTTCTGGTTTGAGGTAATAAATTTTTAGAAAGACACAAATTGTATTGTGTCTCTACATCTAAACAACAGAGTCATAAAGCATCAATTGATTACTAGCTAAAATTAAAATCAAAGACTGACTCATTGACAACTTATAACCTTTATCCATTTGATTAGAGGATCTTTATGTAGAGAGGATAGAAATGTAAACTAAATGTCAGATTTCTACAGTCAAAGGGAATTGGAAAGCTGAAGCTAGTTCATGAGTTAAACTGAATTATATTAAATTATCTGGATAACTGCTCCCCAGTTAGCTGATAAGCTCCATGGGATCAATTTCACTCATCCTCCTCACTACCAGCTTTATTACAGAAAGAAAAGACTTTAAAATGTAATTAGTTCATAAATTTTCCTCAACATATACCAAACTGAGAACTAGACTAAGTCAGTTATTAAACAGAAGGTGTTTCTGTAGAATGCTGATAGACATATACACATATTTCCCTATTTTTTCTTTTTGCCATTTAAATAAAACAATACATTATTGAAACTCTTGGGTTTCTAAGAAATTTATTTAAATCACCCAAATGGCTGCTGGATTTTCTAACCCATATGGAGTTAAGAAAGAGTAATAAGAGAAAATGGTGAATCAATTTGAGTCAGTAAAATATATACTGTATATATTTTCATTAACTATATGAAGCCCAAATACTTCAAATTTGTCTTTATATTAAAATAGAATTCTTCTGTTCCTCTTGTTTTAAAATCAGTCCCGTTCAACAGCAGTTGCCCTATTAATTAGAGGTTTAGTAGAAAGAGAATGAATTTTAGAGAAAAAACATGGTTTCCCCTAACTTTCTAGCTGTGTGACTATGGGCAAGTTACTTACCCATTCTATAAAATAGATTTAACAACATTCACTTCTGTCAAATCAGAATTAAAATATATAAATTATAATTTTAATGGCTATAATTTTATTTTTATTAGGTCAGACTCTTAACCCTGCCTCCCTAAGTCACTTATTTTGCTAGTTTAAATAAATATTTAAAGTAGTCATCAAGCGTAAGCAAGATGGCGAAACCCCATCTCTACCAAAATACCAAAAAATTAGCCAGGCATAGTGGTGCAGGGCTGTAGATCCACCTACCCAGGAGACTGACCTGGGAGGATCACTTGAGCCTGGGAAGTCAAGGCTACAGTGAGCTATGATCATGCCACTTCACTTCAGCCTGAGTGACAGAGCCAGCAGACCCTGCCTCAAAAATAATAATAATAAAATAAAGTAGTCTTGAACTGAGGTGTATGTAAAGTGAGAACTGTAATGACTGGCATATAGTATGTGCTCCATAAACAAATGCTACATATATTTATTAGTTTTAAATAAAGGAAGTATGCTTGGCATTTCCTTAATCCCATAGACTTTTAAATAAGATTTCATAACATTAAAAGATCCCTATTTAATATCTGAAATTTTTGTCCTGTTTCAAAGGGAGTCTTTGGTCTTCCTTTTTTATGAGGCATTCACCACCCCTCTGATCCATCACCATTTGTGTACTAACAGCCACACTGAGAATCCAATCACCTCAAGAATTATAAAGCGCTTGTATAGAAAGACTATGAAAGTCACAGAAAGGGATACCATGTTACTATGAGAGTGACTCAGATGTTATGCAATCAGCTAATCATTTGAGTAGTAGATTTCAAAAAATAGTTTGATTGATTTGTTTTCCCTACTGAATTAAATCATTTTTGGAGCCTTTTATACATACAGTCTTAACTTCTACTAATAAGCCCTATTTTAATTACAATACCAATCACTCTGCAGGAAAAAAAAATTCTCCCCAAACCATATAAAATATAAGCTACAGCAATCAGAGCCAAGAAAGATGACAAAGGAATTAAAATTTCACTTCAAATATAATTAATTCTAGTCTCAGAAACTTGAAACTCATAAATGTAGAGGCTGAAAATTAAAATGCCATTGTGCTAATACTGAAAATCAATATTCGGAAGAAAAACATTATCAAAAGTCCTAGTTTTCTGTAAGTCTAACTTTCAATTGCATCTCCAAATAGCTTTCTCTTCTATTTTTTTTTCTTAGCCCCTTTTACAGATGACTGTATCTCTTCTAAATCAAAATAGAAAATGAATGATGAATGTAGTTTTCGTAAGCAATAGAGAGAAGAATAGAGACACAGGTAGAGGCATCATGCTACAGTTTCTCTTTCACAGAACCACAGAACGAGCCACATGCAGTGGGAGGAAGAGAAAGAGGCGGGGATGCCAGCCATTGGGAAACTCTTCCTTCGACATACCATACCTCCAGACATTTCGATGACATCAATTTATTCACTCATTTACTTAACAAACTTTTGTGGGTCACACTCTGTGAATAATTTACTGTTTGAGGTATCGTTGTAACACTTTTTAGGGATACAATTACAAAAAAGAGAGATCAGTCTCCCTGTATCACCATTTCTTTATATGGTTTCTTTCCTTTTTCATTTTTACAACACTCATATTGTCATTTTTCAAATGATCAGTTGATCAACATTTATTAGATATATATGTCTGTTAACAAAGCTCAAGAACACACAGCATTAGTTACAAACAATCTAGACAAAAACTTCCTGGTCAACTAAATCAAAGATCATCATTTGAAAACAGGGAGAAAATGGAAAAAGGAAAGAATAAATAATATATTTTAAATTGTGATTTATTAATTCATTCAGCTAACACAGAGAAGGTGCTTGCATTATGGAAGGAGATGTGCTAAGTGCCACAGGAGACATAAATATGCATTAAGTCAGATGAGACATAAACAACTATGATATTATCAATTTTTTTTCAATTAAAAAAAAAAAAAGAAAAAGAATGAAGACAACCATTTTCCAGGTCCTATCTGTCCTCATATGGTTAAACACTCCCAATCTTAATTCTGCTTGACTTTGGGCCTAAAGTCAGAGAATGAAAAAAGATTATATAATTATTTTCTTACTTTTCTTTCCTACTTCCCAGCTGGCGAGCTGTATATTGATCTCCATAGTCAATTAATACCAATTGTCGAGAAAAGACATTCACTTTGTTGCCTATAAATAAATCTTCCAAGTGCAGGTTATCATATTTGGTCCGCTTTAAAAAGGTGCGATGATTCTTTACATCATGCTAGAACCAGAAACAACAATGTAATGAACAAAAAAAAATTATTAATAAGGAAAGTTAACCTTATCATAAGGTAGAAATAATTCTTAATCCTGTCTTATCAAATATAGGTTATATTCTGTTTTTCTGTTATAAATATAAATCATATTTTTTAATAACTCCCATATTTCCAAATTCAATCCATAAAATAACATAAAAGCTTATTACAAATTTAATATTTTTAAAAACCTGAATAGAAAGATTTATTACCAAATCATTTCAGTAAAGTAGTCCTTACAAAATGCTAAAGAGTCATACACCCAAATTTCTGCTTTCTTTTGTACAAAAAATCCCAATACCGAAAAGATCCACTTGTTAAAAGTGTTCCCAATGAAGGGACACAAAGAAATAAAACCCTTTTAGCCTGATCCTCTTTAATTTGACTTTTTGTAGCAATAACAGCTTTCAATAATGAGGACATATTTATGACCATGACAATCCTTATTCATAATCACTTATTGGTTATTTCTTATCCAAAACATGAATAATCTTACTTCAGTCTTTTTTTTTTTTTTGAAACAGAATTTCATTCTGTCACCCAGGCTGGGGTGCAGTAGTGGGATCTCAGCTCACTGCAACCTCCACCTCCTGAGTCCAAGTGATTCTCTTGCCTCAGCTTCCCGAGTAGCTGGGATTACAGGCACATGCCACCACGCACAGCTGATTTTTTGTATTTTTAATAGAGATGGGGTTTCACCATGTTGGCCGGTCTCGAACTTCTGACCTCAAGTAATCCACCCACCTCGGCCTCCCAAAGTGCTGGGATTACAGGCGTGAGCCACCACGCCCGGCCCCCACTTCAGTCTTTTGACAAAAAAAAATCCTGTTCTTGACATTAAAAATAAAGGCACAAGTTAGCTCCTTACATTGGAAATACAACGAATATTTAAAAAAAGATTTCCACATATATATGCATACACACACACACACACACACATAAATGTATTTTTAAAAGGCAATTATATAAAAGGCAATGCTATTCCTCTACCTATCTCACATTCACCCCCTTTGCCAACATTCAAACAAAGAAAGGCTAATTTACCATTTCAACAGATCCATCCCCTGGGTAAAATAAAAGCTCATAACGTCGAAGAAGTGAAGCATTTGGATCATACCACTCTGCAATGAAAACGAATCTTTCACTATGATTCTGCAAAGAAAGAAGAATTTTAACACTAACATATAAAGAACAAGCACTCTTCTATAAGTCACACAAAATGAGAGCAAGAATTCCCAATTTGCAAGAAACAAACTTATTTCGACCTATTATATTGATTTTTTCTGCTTTTCAACAAAATATCAGTTATCAACACATACTCAGAAATACTTCCTTTTAATTTCTCACTAAATATCCTTAGACATCTCAAAGATGACTATGGATTGCTTATTACTGTACGGCCATCTCATCATCCTGAGTGAATTAACATTTTCTAAGAAAATGAGCTTCTGATTTTACTATTGTAACAGTCCTTCTGAAAGCAAGTTTACATATGATTAATAAACTAATATAAGAATAAATTTCTGAGGATAGCTCTCAATTACATGAAGTTTTGACTTTCCTAAATTTTAGAATCTAGTAATATAAGAATATCGTCATTAAAATTACAGCAAACATCTTTTTTCTCCTTAGTAATTTCATATGATAGTATCTTTTTATAGAAATAATGTGTTAGTCTAGGACCTCTGAGAAACAAATGCAAAGACAAGATTGAACATGCAAGAATTTCATTAAGGAAAATTCCTGTAATAGAAAATGAGGAGGGAGTCAAAAAGACTAGAAAAGCTGACAGAAACAATGCAAATGTGACACAGTGGTGGAGAGAGGCAAGGAATGCTAGGCGGGGCCGTCCTGGATTGCTATACCCTAGAAAGAAGGCTTAGTAAGCCTATGAAGAAGTGCTAGGGCCAAGTGACTCCCAAGGATAGGGAGGGGCCACCTTTAGTATCCCTCTTCCTCTCAATCACTGGCTGGGAGTAGCCTTTGGAAAGGAAGTGCTCAGCACAAAAGCAGCAATGGATTTCAGAGAACAGCAGCTGGAACCCTTCGTCATTTAAGTTGCTGACAGTTGGAGGCACTAAGAATGTGAAGTACATTCTTAGGGCTACCACAGAAAGCAGAAAGAAAAAAATAAGTCAAAGATGGGTTCTTTTTCCTTGACTATTAAGCAGGATTTCCCATTATATATGTTAGTAAAAATACCCCCACCCCAAAGGTCCTTCATTATAATAAGCAAATAAAAGCACAGGGAAGAAGGGAATCTAGGAGTTTCATTGCTAATTCTAGATTTGCCATCTGATGCTCTGGTTAGGGTAAATTTGGGGGTTCTTCTTTATGTTAATAATTGACTTACAAATGGTAGAAGTTGCATGTCTAATTATGTTTATGATATATCCACAAACTATAATGCAGATGAGTAGTTTTTAAGACACTTTTATTTTTCCCACAATTGTCCAAAGACACATTTAAACCATGCTGATAATGCAAGAGAAAATACATGTAAAATAAGAGACATACTATGACATACTATTTGTAAAAGCCTTTCATCATATATATTTTTCATATTGATTATAACAACACAGCTTTTTTGAGTGTAGGTTTCACCGTGCATTCTAGTATTGTATTCATCTATAAATAAAAATTTAAATATTAGATTATCAGATTTTTTACTATTCAGACTAAAATATTTATTTAAATACATAATTAAAACATTGCCCTCAGGCTTCGACAAAATTCAACAGCCCTTTATGCTAAAAACTCTCAATAAACTATGTATCGATGGAACGTATCTCAAAATAATAAAAGCTATTTACGACAAACTCATGGCCAATATCTACTGAATGGGCAAAAACTGGAACCCTTCCCTTTGAAATCTGGCACTAGGCAAGGAAGCCCTCTCTCACCACTCCAATTCAATATAGTATTGGAAGTTCTAGTCAGAGCAACCAGGCAAGAAAAAGAAATAAGGGGTTTTCAGTTAGGAAAGGAGGAAGTCAAATTATCTGTATTTGCAGAAGACATGATTGTATAATTAGAAGACCCCATTGTCTCAGCCCAAAATCTCCTTAAATTGATAAGCAACTTCATTCAGCAAAATCTCAGGATACAAAATCAATGTGCAAAAATCACATGCATTCCTATACACCAATAACAGACTAACAGTGAGCCAAATCAAGAGCGAACTCCCATTCACAATTGCTACAAAGAGAATAAAATACCTAGGAATACAACTAACAAAGGACGTGAAGGACCTCTTCAAGGAGAGCTACAAACCACTGCTCAACGAAATAAGAGAGGACACAAACAGACAGAAAAACGTTCCATGCTCATGGTTAGGAAGGATCAATAACATGAAAATGGCCATACTGCCCAAAGTAATTTATAGATTCAATGCTATCCCCATCAAGCTACCAATTACCCTTTTCACGGAACTGGAAAAAACTACCTTAAACTTCATATGGAACCAAAAGACAGCCCGCATAGCCAAGTCAACCCCTAAGCAAAAAGAACAAAGCTGAAGGCATCATGCTACCTGACTTCAAACTATACTACAAGGCTACAGTAATCAAAACAGCATGGTACTGATACCAAAACAGAGATATAGACCAATGGAACAGAACAGAGGCCTCAGAGGCAATACCACACATCTACAATCATCTGATCTTTGACAAACAGGACAAAAACAAGCAATGGGGAAAGAATTCCATTTAATAAATGGTAGTGAGAAAACTGGCTAGCCATGTGCAGAAAGCTGAAACTGGACTCCTTCCTGACAGCTTACACTGAAATTAACTCCAGAGGGATAAAGACTTAAACATAAGACCTAACACCATAAAACTCTAGAAGAAAACCTAGGCAAAACCATTCAGGACATAGGCATAGGCAAGGAATTCATGACTAAAACACCAAAAACATTGGTAACAAAAGCCAAAACGGACAAATTAAACTCCAGAGCTTCTGTACAGCAAAAGAAACAATCATTAGAGTGAACCGACAACCAAGAGATTGGGAAAAATTTTTGCAATATACCCATCTGACAAAGGGCTAATATCCAGAATCTACAAAGAACCAAAACAGATTTACAAGAAAAAAATCAAACAAATCCATTCCAAAGGGTGAAGGAGATGAACAGACATTTTTCAAAAGCAGACATACATGAGGCCAACAAACATATGAAAAAATGCTTATCATCACTGGTCATTAGAGAAACACAAATCAAAACCACATCGAGATACCATTTTACACCAGTTAGAATAGCGATCATTAAAAATCTGGAGACAACAGATGCTGGAGAGGATGTGGAGAAATAGGAACACTTTTACACTGTTGGTGGGAGTGTACATTAGTTCAACCATTGTGGAAGACAGTGTGGCGATTCCTCAAGGACCTAGAAATAGAAATTCCATTTGACCCAGCAATCCCATTACTGGGTATATACCCAAAGGATTATAAATCGTTCTATTATAAAGACACATGCACACATATGTTCACTGAGGTACTGCTTACAATAGCAAAGACCTGGAACCAACCCAAATGCCCATCAATGATAGACTGGACAGGGAAAATGTGGCACATATACACCATGGAATACTATGCAGCCATAAAAAACGATGAGTTTGTATCTTTTGTAGGGACATGGATGAATCTGGAAACCATCATTCTCAGCAAACTGACACAAGAACAGAAAACCAAACACCGCATGTTCTCACTCATAGTCAGGTGAAAAATGAGTACACATGGACACAGGGAGGGAAGCATTACACACTGGGGTCTTTTGGGGGGTGCTGGGGAGAGACAGCAGAGAGGGAAGGTTGGGGAGGGATAACATGAGGAGAAATGCCAGATATATGTGACAGAGGGATGGAGGCAGCAAACCACCTTGCCATGTATAAACCTATGCAACAATCCTGCATGATCTGCACATGTACCTCGGAATCTAAAGTACAAGAAAAATATGCATATATTGCCTTCACTAAAATAAATATAAAATAGAAGAAATTACACATCTAACTAAAGCAAATGAAAAATCAATGAAACCTGGTACTTCCATTTATCCATCTAGCTCTATCCACCAAATCTGCCAATCACACTCTTCTGAATTGGGCAGCAGAATTTTGCACTATACTCTATCCAGAAAACAGTTTTAATAGAAAGAAAATAAACTGAGGAACTATTGCCTCTGGCTATGACAAAGTAGCTTACAGCAAACCAATTCTACTTCTAAGAACAACTAGAAAAGTAGAATATCAAAGATTTAGAGAGCTTTTAAGGTGGCTGGGATATGAGGATCCAAGATCCAGAAAGACAGGAAGCCCACTGAAATGAAACCAACATTCACTGTGTTGTTATAACTCCTAACATATGTGCTGAGTCTGAAGTCAAGTAGGCAAGTGATTGAGAAGCCTAAGAAGCTGGCAGAGGGAGCCCACCAAGGGGCAGAGAAACAGGTACAAAAGTGAGCTCAAACCTGCGCTTGTTCGGTAGAGCTTTTGGAAACTCACTCCCAAGTCCCTGCTGTTTCCTCTGTGAGAAAAAGCTTATTGCTCCAAGTACAAATTATATTAAAACTTGATTTAAACTTAACTTTCTGCTTTACTTTTACAATAAGAACTGTGTTTGCATCCTAGAGTTAAAAGATGTGTCTAGAGATATAACAGTGGTACATCCGGACGTGGATAAAACATCACAGTCAGGTTGGCTTTTCAACTACCTGCCTGACACACATGCGCGCGCGCACACACACACACACGCCATCCAGACCAAAGCCACTTTTGAAATTTAAAGAAAATTTACTTTTCAGCTTTGTTGAGTCAAATCTAGGAAAAAAGAGGAACTTGGTTCCCTTTCCTTTTTTTTCCTAAAATGGTGTTAAAGCTGGATTTAATTTTGTTTAAACTCTTCACTTTATGGATAAAGAAACTGAGCTCCAGAGAATATAAATGACTAGCATAAGGTCACAGACCTGGTAAAGAACTGAGCCAAAACTGGAAACTACACTACCTATGAATCCGATATTTCCAAATCAACAGCCTTCCAGGGCCAACTCAAGAGGGAGAAACACTTTACTAGCACTTAGATACACCTCAAGCTGTCTGTCACAGATACTCTGATGAAAATGCCACCACCTGATGATTACATGAACAACCATTAGTTCCTTCTTCCTTGAAGATTTTGGCTTCTATCAAAAGTACTTTGTGGGGAGCATTTAAAGATTATACTACATCAAAAAGAGACTTTCTTAAAGAAGTCAAATCATTATTCCTCTTTTGAACATTATAAAGGTAAGTTATACATAATCCCTCACACATAATCACACTTTGTTCCAGAAATCTTAAAGTCTTAAAGGAAAATGTGTATTATTATACCCAGAAGTCTCGAAGTGACTTGAAGTGGACAATGTGGTATTATTAAACTCAGAAGCCTTAGTGTCTTAAAGTCTTAAGGTCTCTGTCTAGAGACAGAGAACTTTCCTACAGCAACAGTCTTACTCAACGGTAAGTAACATAAACATTTTACATTATAACATGCATATATATGTTATTGAGTGGAATGTAAAATTATATAAGTTTTATAACATAAAATGGGTGATTTTCTGGAAATTTTGACCAATATTGAAATTCCAAGTGAAATTATATTTGAAGGGTAACCAAGTCTTTGGAGAACTGAATCACACCACCACCTCTCTCTGCTACTGTTTACAGGAAGGCCCACATAAAATTAACAATCTTTTCCATATAGATGTACTTTAAAAAGCCAGTCTCTCAGTTTAAGAATGAGTTTAACTAAGCTTATGTAACCAAGCATAATTGCACCTTGGCCTCACATATTTCAATAATACTAACCAGAAAGCCATTCCATTCCTGATGATACTATGATAATCAATCAACGAATACCAACTGAGCCTGGTACTACTAGTATTGCTGAGTACAATGAGCACATCAGTCTGGTAAGTCTGCTGCTGCTGTTGCTATTGCTGCTATCATTTGCTGGCAGCCTACAGCAAGTAACATGGCTCTGAAATGTGTTGCTTAAAGACAGGAGCCAGGAAACTATAAAGGGTTTTTGCAGGGGAAGATTAGGGAGGAATATCTGAGAGAGTCCAAAAGCATGGGCTCTATAGTCAGACAGACCTGGGCAAGGCAGTTAATCTCTCTAAGCCTCATTTTCCCCATCTGTAAAACGGAAATAGTACTTTCCTCATAAGGTGGCTATGGGGATTAAATGACTTTGTTTACATAAAGCACTTAGGATTTCTTTTGCCTATGTCTCCCAAAGCAATGATGGTGGTTTATAGGTCCACCTGTGACTCTAGAGCTGCACTGCACACACTCATCTCCCTCATTGATCTTTCTCTGACATACAAGAAGAACCTCTTTGGATTTGTGATGATTCAGCCTCAGCTGCAACTAATCCTAGGTAAGTAGTTTTTTAAAGGTCTTTGCAGAAAAAATCAGTATGAAGGAAAAAGGAATTTGTGATGGACAGAAAATGACTAAACTTATATTTACAAATGAAAATAAAAACTATTGAACATGTAATACTAAGTAATTTTTGTAAAGGATATATAATATTAATAAATCCGAGCTAAAGTACAATTCCTACCTTTTGGGGAGTTCAAACAGTTATGGATCTGTTTTTGTCAATAAAAGTTTTAGTCACAATTTTCTTGTTAAATTTTATAACTCCATCTGTTACACATTAATCATTAGTTTTATAATTTAAACTTCTGAAAGGAAAGGTACAACTGAAAAAATAATAAATTACATTAATCAACAAAATTATTGTTGAAAATTGTAGATGTAAGAAATTAAATGTTGTGTTTTGACTTGTTACAGACACCAAAGGTGTTATGGAAAATAATAAAAAGTATTCACATTCACATAGCATAAAAGTCATATTAGACATTATATTTAATAGCAATCTATATGTCCAAAACAGCAGGTATCATACATTGCCATTTAGCAATTCTAAGATATAAAATTAATTATGTGGCTAAGTTTCCAGTACCAAGCAGGAATCTAAGGATCTATATGAATATTTATAAAGTAACAGTAAAATTTCCTGCCTTCAATTCCACAAAGAAAAGCAGAAGTGTTTTATATTTTATTTAAAAGGAATAAATATGTACAGATGAGAAAGCATCTTGGTTCAAGGCTTCTCTGGTATCAAAAATAAAGCACAGAATTTTTTTTCAAATAAACTATCTAAATCTCCATTCCATGGCTCTCAAATGAAGTAAAGTGTCTATTTAAGGAATCTATTCACATCTAATTTTTAAATTCTTGATAGTAATAAGCCTGGGGGAAGACAGAAAAACTGTAAAGCATACTCATTATCTAAGCTCGCCAATTTATAATTTCAGAGGAAACGAAATAAAATATTATTATGGAAGGAAAGGTACTCCTCCCAATTTATAAGCACTTGGGGTAAAGGATGAGTTTGTGTGAGTATATGTACTTGTGTACATAGTAAGCAAAGATGAATATTTCTGAATACAGATTACAGTGTAAAATTACCTTTACTGCTTTTCACTAATAAATTGCAAAATTTCTAAATAGAAGTTTTGATAATACCATTGCATTTTTGCTCCAATGCAATCGAGACCCTTAACAAGTGAAAGTCTCTTACCCTCATCCAGGGACCTTGTATCCTAGTAAGGCCACAAGAGGATATAGAAAAGTTAAGATAAGTTATCAACTCAACACATACTGTCAGAAATATACTCACCTATAAGGATCAAGCACAATGCTTAAAGAAAAAGAAAAAAGAAAAGCAAGGAATGGCAGGTAGTATCTTTAGTTTTGTATTTTTAGGGTACCAGCCATCATTAGCTTTCATGAATCAGTGGGATCCACTGTTTATATCTGGTCGCCAATGCTTAAGACTTTTAGCATTCTGTAAATTGTTACTATTTTAATTAACTTTTACAAATCTTATTTACCTCTCATGGTAGTTAGAACCAAGTACTAAACTAAGCAGGTAGCGAGGGAAAGGGAACTAAACTAATAGTGTGTCAAGTATATTTAATACATATTTCAGTTAATCCTCACAAGAAACCTGTAATTGAGTGACTCCTACTATTTTCACCATTGGGAAAACAGAGGTGCAGAAACATTAACTGTCCAGATATTACAAAGATAAACAGCTAGTCAGAACTAGACTTGGGATTCAAACACAGGTTTGTCTGATGTCAAAATTCAACACTCATTTTAGACACCAAAAGCACTGAATCAAGAAAAAACATCAGAATCAAGAGTTCTGGATCAGTCAAAAGAGCAACAGAGATGGGAGATAGTGAAAAAGGTAACCTGTCTATAAGGTACAACTGAGCAGAAAAGCAGACAGAGATAAGAAATCAGAGGAAGTCACTACTAACAATGGAAAATCAGTTTGGTCTCGATTCTACAAAGAATGCACAGAGGGTAAGAATTGAAAATGTTTCAAAAGTTGAATTAAGACAGTTGAAGGAGCTTAGGTTAGACCTAACTGAGAAGTAATTGAGTAATTATTAAAATTACTTCCAAAAATCACAGACAGTGCGTACAATTTAGGAAGACCTACTTATTAGTTTATCATTCCTTTTGCAATATGTTTAAAAGTCCCCTATAACAGTGGCTTCAAATGTTTGATTATTACAGTAATAAGTTCACACCATGACCCAATGCACACATGCATGTAAATATATTACTGAAGAATTTCTCACAGCAATATGTATCCTTACTATGTGCTGTGTACTAAGATATTTTCTATTCTGGTCTATTCTACCTTTTTATTAACACTGATAGAGACCCTCCAACCCATTTCATACCTACAAATAAGGTCAAGAGCCTTTGAAGAACACTGCATTACCACCCACTCTCCCACTCCAAACTATGAAACAACTACCAGAAAATATTGGGGAAAAATCTCTAGGACATTGGTCTGCGCAAAAACTTCTTGAGCACTACCCCACAAACATAGGCAACCAAAGCAAAAAGGGACAAATGGGATTACATCAAGTTAAAAACCTTCTGCATAGCAAAAAAAAAAAAAAAAAAAAAAAGTGAAGAGACAACCCACAGAATGGGAGAAAATATTTGCAAACTACCCATGTGACAGGGGATTAATACCAAGAATACATAAGGAGCTCAAACAAGTCCATAGGAAAAAAAATCTAATAATCTGACTAAAAAATGGGCAAAAGATCTGAATGGACATTTCTTAAAAGAAGACATACAAATGAAAAATAGGCATATGAAAAGGTGTTAAACATCACTGATCATCAGAGAAATACAATCAAAACTACAATGAGTTATAATCTTATCCTAGTTAAAATGGCTCTTATTCAAAAGACAGGCAATAACAAATGCTGGTGAGGATGTGGAGAAAAAGGGAATCCTTGTACACTGTTTTTGGGAATGTAAATTAGCATATCCACTATGGAGAACAGTTGGAGGTTTCTCAAAAAACTAAAAATTGGGCTACCATACGACCCAGCAATCCCACTGCAGGGTACACAATGAAGTACCATTCAGCCATAAAAAAAGAATGAGACCCAGTCATTTGCAAAAATAGGGATGAAACTGGAGATTATTAGATTAAGTGAAATAAGCTAGGCACAGAAAGACAAACCTCCTAAGTTCTTACTTATTTGTAGGATCTAAAATAACAAAACAATTGAACTCATGGACATAGAGAGTAGAAAGATGGTTACCAGAGGCTGGGAAGATAGTGGGAGGCTGTAGGGGTGGTGGGAATGGATAACGAGTACAAAAAAATATAAAAAAAATAGAAAGGATGACTAGGACCTACTATTTGATAGCACAGCAGGGTAACTATAGCCAATAATAACTGAATTGTACATTTTAAAATAACTTAAAGACTGTAACTGCATTGTTTGTAACAAAAGGCTAAATGGATCAAAAGGATAAATGCTTCAGGGGACAGAGAACCTATTCCCCATGATGTGCTTATTTCACATTGCATGCCTGTATCAAACTATCTCATGAACCCCATAAATATATATACCTATCATGTACCCATAAAAATTTAAATTTTTTTAAAAAAGAAATTTGTCAAGATCACACAGCTTATAAACAGAGGTGAACCCAGACACCTTGACTCCAGACCTCCTGCTCTTGGCCACTCTCCTTAATTGTGTGGCAAGAAGGGATGGAAACATCCTTCTGAGGGACACTGGACTAAGCAGCCTATATATAAGCTGCACTGTTTGCTCGATTTCCAGAACCAACAACTGTATTCTTTCAATTTCACCCCCTATTAAGACAAATCAGGTTTTAAAAACCAACACAACCACAACAATAAAAACCAGGCCATACTTGTCAGACTTATAATTCTAACAATGCATCGAAAAAATGTGCATTGCATTTTGTAATGCTGTATTTTGGGAAAAAATTACTTCACAATAGGAGGAAAATATTTTCGTTCATACAAAAGTGCTCCTTTTTTAAAATCTTGCTAAATGGATTATATAATGCATGATGGAGAAATGTCCTGACCTAACTAGAAGTCTTATTTTCATGATTTGCATGTTGAAGGGTCAGTAACTGGTCTCAGCCTATTTCAAGCCAAGTATGTGCCTCTGTTTGACTTCAAAGACATTCTGGAATAAATTATGTACATGATAAAGGTTACAGTTCAACAGGCTTCTAAAGTTTAGTCTGAGTCTCCATGTACCTACATTCACCTTGAATGACATAATAATAGAAATCAACAGCATCAGTAACCAAACAGCATGGTACTGGTACCAAAACAAATACATAGACCAATGGAGCAGAACAGAGACCTCACAAATAACATCCCACATCTACAACCATCTGATCTTTGACAAGCCTGACAAAAACAAGCAATGAGGAAAGGATCTCCTATTCAGTAAATGGTGCTGGGAAAACTGGCTAGCCATATTCAGAAAACTGAAACTGTATCCCTTCCTTACACCTGATACAAAAATTAACTCAAGATGAATTAAAGACTTAAATGTAAAACCCAAAACCATAAAAATCCTAGAAGAAAACCTAGGCAATACCATTCAGGACATAGGCATGGGCAAAGACTTCATGACAAAAAGGCCAAATGCAATTGCAACAAAAGCAAAAACTGACAAATGGGATCTAATTAAGCTTAAAAGAGCTGCTGCATAGCAAAAGAAACTATCATCAGAGTGAACAGGCAACCTACAGAATGGGAGAAAATTTTTGCAATCTACCCATCTGACAAAGATCTAATATCCAGAATTTACAAGGAACTTAAACACATTTACAAGAAAAAAAAAACAACCCCATTCAAAAGTGGGCAAATGATATGAACAGACACTTCTCAAAAGAAGACATTTATGTGGCAAACAAACATATGAAAAAAAGCTCAACATCACTGATCATCAGAGAAATGCAAATCAAAACCACAATGAGATACCACCTCACACCAGTTAGAATGGTGATTATTAAAAAGTCAGGAAACAACAGATGCTGGTGAGGCTGTAAAGAAACAGGAGTGCTTTTAACATTGTTGGTTAGAATGCAAATTAGTTCAGCCATTGTGGAAGACAATTCCTCAAGGATCTAGAACTAGAAATATCATTTCACCCAGCAATCCCGTTACTGGGTATATACCCAATGGAATATAAATCATTCTACTATAAAGACACATGCACACATGTTTATTGTAGCACTATTTACAATAGCAAAGACATGGAACCAACCCAAATGCCCATCAATGATAGACTGGATAAAGAAAATGTGGTACATATACACCATGATTCACAAGGAATGAGAGCATATCCTTTGCAGGGACATGGATGAAGCTGGAAGCCATCATCTTCAGCAAACTACCACAGGAACAGAAAACTGCATGTTCTCACTCATAAGTAGGAGTTGAACAATGAGAACACATAGACACAGAGAGAGGAACAACACATACCAGGGCCTTTTGGAGGTTGGGGATTGAGAAGAGGGAAGTTAAGAGGATGGGTCAACAGGTGCAGCAAACCACCATGGCACACATATGTCTATGTAACCAAACTACACATTGTGCACATGTATCCTGATTTTTTTTAGAAGAAATATATATATATATATGTATAGAAGGAGATCAACATCATCTAAGAATCTGCCCCCTCAAACCAGCTGCTTCCAGTAAGGGTGAGTGAAAAGAGGCTTCCAAACAAGGAACTTTTAAATTTGCCTTGAACATTCTGAGAACATAGCAGATCATTAAAAATATATTACCTACATAGTGGGCAAACAAGCATAGTAATTCACATTGCTTTACTTAGATGCCACTGTGATAAGTACAACAGAAATAAAAGCACAGGGAAAAGATTTGCATTATCCCATTACCGGAGGCTAGATTTTAAGCACTAACTTGTTTTGTACCTATCCTTTATTAAATAGTCTTCCTCTAGGGCTTCTTTCAAAGACCAAGTAATTTTCTTACACTGAATAGTGTCTAATATTAACTAACCTTACTTTAGTGTGACCATAAGCAGTTTTGAGCTTGTCCAGGTTGTTCTCAGAGACCTATTGCTTCTTCATAAATCTGTCTTGTAAAGACAGATAGAAGGCAAGCTCAAGTAAAAAGTGACTACATGTATGATAAATCTAATTTGTCAACTCTAACTTGGCATTTCTTATTAATAAAGGCAAACAAATTATA